CAGCCTGGAGGCAGCCAGGAGGCTGGGACCAGTGCTGGGAGAGGAGAGGCGGCCAATCTCACCCGCGCGGTACAGGCGGCAGTGAGGGTGAGAGACAGTGGCCGCACACGGGGAGTTATGTCAGGACTCGGTGGCAGCGGAGAAGCCCCCCATTTCACTGACGCCGGAGGAGGCCCAGGAAGGCAGAGTGACTGGCTCCTGTCCCAGACACTCCTGTCCCAGACGCTAGTGGAATAAATGAGCGGAGATGCTGGGTCCCCTTGAGTCACACTGCCCTGCTTAATTTGTGTCCGCGGGCATCCCCTAAGCCCCAGCCCTGCAGTCTGCGAAAACTCAACCTAAACTAGCAGTCCAGGCCCTCGATGACCACAGCCCTCTGTTTTCCCTTCTTTAGAAGCAAAAATGAGATCTCCATGAGAATAAGGGCTTGGTTTCATCACAGCTCTAGTCCAGCACACAGCTCAGTGCTGGGCACAGGGAGGCTCGAAGTAGATGTTTGTTGAATGAATAAATAAACGCACTGCGACTGTCCTAGATGCTGATTGGCCCCTTGTGACAATGACCTCTCCAGTCGAGGAGAGTCTCAGAGACTCTGAATTCACCGTGGCTGTGAAAAAGGAACAGAATGGAGGTGACCTGTATTATTCTAGCCCGAGAGCAGAGTGAATTCTCTCCAAGGAGAAGTCAGGTCTTCCTTATTATCAACGTGCTAAAAATAAGCAAGCATCTGACCTAGGTAAAAAGTCATAGTAGATTCCATAAAATGTTTCAGTATAATTGATATGCACTGTAGACTTGGCCTTTTAAACTTAGTATAAAAAAATGAGTATTATCTAGCAAATGTAATCTTTTGGAACACATTTCTTTTATTTGCTCTCTTCTCCAAAACTGTTATCATTTTCTCTTTAAAAAATGCCCTATTATTATTACTCACAGGTTCCTTAGCAGATGGTAATTACAAGAATCAATCTTTTCTCTTTGAAACCATTTTTCTAATCTTCAGGTAATTTCCCTCCTCTGTATTAATGCATAAAATAGTGTGGCTCATACTTTTTTTCTTCACTACAACATAACTAGAGAATAAAATTCCTAATTCATGATTATATAAACCTTTTTTAAATCTTTTAAAATCTCATTTTAAGTGCATTCAAAAGATGTCCGTGTGATTTTATTATGTATATATCTATGCCAAAATTAGCACATACCATCTGTTAAATTCCTTACATTCAAAAGAAAAATTCTGTTTTTGAGCACTTCAAAGATGAAAGGTATTTTTGAAGATAGATACAAGTACATTAAACATTTGTAATTTAATACATGACACTGTTCAGTGTAGGAAAACAATGTATATAATTATCTTTCCTGCAGAGCATAAATATTTTGTTCAAATAACTCTTAAAAATAAACTCTATGTAAAAGACAGAGTAAAAGATACTTTTTAAAAAGTCAGAGAAACCAACATCAGACAGGAAAAAAGCACATGATTCTTAGTCTGAAAACAAATAAAACGATATTAATATATGGATAGAAAAATGGTGTAACTGGAGTAGTTGTCAGTTTGAAGAAACCAACGTCTGAAAGGATGGAGATGTGTAAAACTAGTGAAGGAAACCCTTCGCACTCCTGTGTTAATTTACTATCTGTATACAAGCGTGTGTATTCGGAAGTCACTCTGATGTACTTCACTAGTAGAAATATAGAACGGAGCAAGGTCAGACCCACGCCCTCAGGAGATCTTTTAGTCGGGAAGCGGAGCAGAGACAGGAACTCATCTGTAACAGAGAATGCTGATGAAGAACAGCGTACAGGAATCGCCTTAAAGGACGTGCTGGGGAGTTAGGAGGAGGGAATAACTCCCCGAGAGAAGTGCCAGGTGAGGCGCCGTGCAACCGCGGGCATCTGACAAGTGTGTTGTTGTCAACAGTTACAAAAACAGCAACAACTGTTGTAACACTGACATGGATAAACCGGCCTTCCTTCCAGGTACTGGTGAGTGTCGGCTGTAATACTGTATTTATTCCTTTCAACCACCTGAGACGATGGTGCCAGCAACGCACCTGTGTCACAGACCAGAAAACCGTGACCTAAGAAACATATGTCCCCGGTCGCACTGGGGGTAGCGAGTAGAAACGCTGATATTAGAATCTCCAGGGCCTTGAAACCCATGGGACCCGCTGCTGTTTCTGCAGCGTTAGAATCTCACTGCCACCTCATCGTACAGGACTCTCTCGGGCCTAGAAGGCATCATGCTGCCTCGTCAATCTATTTATGTTTAAACCACACAACCAGAAATCATGGGTGGTCAATAGTGTCAAAACAAACAAATGAACAAACAACAACAAAAAAGAAAGTGCTCTATTTTGTTCAATGGTGTATCCGCCCCCAGTAACAAAGCCTTAAACGAAACCATGTCCTCAGGGTCCCGGAAGTCTACCCTTCCAGGTGCTGCACGGCCTCGCAGCACTGGACACGTGTTCGCAGCACTTTCTCCGTGGCTGGAAGCCTGTCCCTCACGGAGCTGACGCTCCACGGTGGCAAGCCCAGGTCTTGTTGGCCGCATTACAATTAGCACCCGCGTAGCGCCCAGCACGCGGTAGGTTGACTGGATGAGTAATTGAATCCATGACACAAAGTGTAGAAAGCAAGTCGTGTCTAGTTTAAGTTTACCACACAAACTAGAGAACATCCAGTGAAATTAGAATTTCAGAGAAAGAACAAACTAATTTTTAGTATTAAGTATCTCCCAAATAGTGCGTGGGACACTTTACACTAACATTATTCACTGCTTATCTTAAATGCTAATCTCGCTCAATGACCCGCATTTTCATTTGCTAAACCTGGTAACTCTAGTGTCGTTATTGTTATACATTAAGATTCACTCATTTGTTCAACCAGTCGCTTGTCAGTAAGTGTCTGTTGCTTCTATGAAATGATGCGCTGCATGGCACCCACGTGCCAGGAAAAGCCCTGTGCACGGGGCCTCGGCCACCCAGCACACGGGCAGGCTGTCGCTTCACGGAGCCTGCACGTCAGTGGCACAAGGAGGGAAGGAGAAACAAACAAGGGAGGCATTACATCACCACACTCATCTTCATTCACAATAAGCGCCAAGAAGAAAACCGAGCGAGACGATGAGGTAGAGAGGGGAGGATGGACTGAGGGCTACCTTGGAGAGAGAGTGGGGACAGGTCCCGCTAAGCGATGAGAGAAGCTGTCCTCCAAAGAGCCAGGAGAGGCACAGCCCAGAGAGAAGGAGCAGCGAACACCGGGGCCCCCAGGGCGCCGCAGAGAGCCTGACGACCACAGGAGAGGAGGGAAGACCAGGGGACCACACCAAACACTCTGAAAAAAAGCTCTGCACCGCAGGGGGGGCCACCAGCCGGGTGAGAAGGCGGCCTACCAAGCAGGAGACAATATTTTGTAAATCTGTGTCTGTAAGGGTTCATCTCCAGAAGGTACAGTGAACTCACGTCACTCAACAGCAAAAAGCAACCCGATTAAAAACTGGGCAGAGGATCTGAGCATTTTTCCGAGGAAGACACACAGATGGTCAAAAGGTACCTGAAAAGGATGCTCGACATCACTCGTCGTCGGGGAACTGCAACTCGAAACCACAGTGAGAGGCCACCGCCCACCTGTCGGAGTGGCCGTCGTCAGAAAGAGAAGGAGTAAGTGTCGGCAAAGGTGTGGAAGAAAGGGGACCCTCGTGCGCTGTTGGCGGGAATGGGAACTGGTGCAGCGGCTGTGGGAAAAGTCTGGAGGATTCTCAAAAATTAAAAATAGCACTACGACGATATGGTCCAGCAACGCCATTTGTAGGTGTACATCAAAAAGAAATGGAAACACCAACCGGAAAAGAACTGTACCCCGGCATCCTCATCACGGCGTATTCACAATAAACAAGACATGAAAGCAACCCAAGGGTGTATCGATAGATACAGTAATAAAGAAAATGTGGTGCACACACGGAATGGAATATTAGTAAGCCGTGAAAAAGAAGGAAACCCTGCCATTGACAACGATGCAGACGGAACCCGAGGCGTTACTGTAAGTGAAATAAGTGAGACCGAGAAAGACCAGTAGTGGGTGCTGCTGCTTAGACGTGGAAGCTAAAACCACAGCAACAAACCGAACTCTCAGACACAGAGAACAGATTGCTGGTTGCCTGCGGAGGGTGGGGAGTGGGCAAAGTGGGTGAAGGGGGGCAAAAGTTACAGACTTCCCGTTATAAGATAAATAAATCCTGAGGATGTAAAGTACAGCATGGAAGCTATAGTTAATAACACTCTATTTTGTATTTAAGGGGGTATAGATCTTAAGAGCTCTCATCATACAGAAAAAAAGATTTATAACTTTGTGTAGTGATGGACGCTAGCTAAACCTATGGTGGTAATCACTTTGTAATATATACAAATATCAATCATTAGGGTGCATGCCTGAAACTGATCTAATGTTACATGTCAACTATATCTTGATATAAAAAAGAGCAAAGACCACTCGGACTGTAGTGGGCAGGGGCCTGGGGCCTGGTATAAGCAGGGGGCATGAAGGCGGAAGACAGTGCGGCCAGAGCCAGACCGTGCAGAAACTGGCATTTCCACGGAGAGACGTCTCGGCCAGAATGGGATCCACGGGAGGGGCCAGGGCAGGAAGCGACTCCTCTGCACTGTGGTCAGAAGGCCCCTCGGGATGATGGGTCCCGGATGGGTCCCGGGAGGATGGGTGGCGTGGGAGGGTAAGAGTGGGCGTGGCGGACCAGGTAGGAGCGCTCCGAGAGCGCAGGTGAGTGAGAGCATCGCGGCCTGGTGACCGAGGGGGGTGAACCGGAGGTGTGTTTTGGAGGCAGAAGCCATAGTGCTTCTGAGTGATTCCAACTCTGAAACTGGCCAGACGCGGTGCGAGCAGGGGGAAAAGAACACGCTCGCTTCCCACTCCGCGGTGCGTGGGTTCTGCGACGTGCGTGGGAGGCTGAGTCGCTCTTCCGTGTGTCTCCCCCGCAGCTGCCTATTCTGGCGTCGTCCGTGGTCAGCCTGTACTTCCTCGAGCTCACGGATGTCTTCAAGCCCGTGCACTCGGGGTTCAGCTGCTATGACCGCAGCCTCAGCATGCCGTACATCGAGCCCACCCAGGAGGCCATTCCCTTCCTCATGTTGCTCAGCCTGGCGTTTGCCGGGCCCGCGATCACGGTAAGGACCGCCCTGCACTGTGTGTGTCCGCCAGGCGCAGGAAGCTGGGGAGGGCCACATCGGTGCCGTGAGTGGGTTAAAAGCAAACAGAGGGGACTCTGAATCTCGGACCAGAAAGACCCTATCTTTGAGATACTGTGAGGGCATCACCTGGGAACACTTGCCAGTTTAAAATTGCTGGCGTGGGTAGTTAAAGATTATCTCATCGTAGAAGTGATATTTCTCTAATGTTTACTTTTATAAGTCATTCTGGAAGAAGAGTTTGTGGCTGCGTGATATTTGAGCAGCTCGTAGGACACTCGTGGTCTGCTTCCTCACGAACACGGTTTCCACGTGCTCACGAGGTGTGTCAGTGTGGAAAACCTCGAGGAAAACAAATGGTTACATAGCCCACAGCCTTTCTGAGCAACAGTGTGTGTTGCCATCCCTTAGTGTTTCATTTTGTACTAGGTTAGCACTTCGTATTGATTCTGAGCACTGCGTATCAACGACTGTAAAGAGAGTGTAACTCAGCTTACACACACACACACACACACAGAATACTTTCGATTCAGAAAAGGCACTTGCATTTAAAATACATAACATAAAGAAATGCCCTCCCCTGCTAGAACGGAACTGAAACAATAGTTCTTTATAGTTTGCCAGCAGAAACGTCCTAAGGAACACACTTTTGGATAAATTCATTAATAAATTCGACTGGACAACCCTTTCCACCATCTCTTGTGCCCCCAGAATCCTGCCTCAAGGACAATATACTTGTTTCAAGGTCAGTGCTATTCATTTCTACCAGGAGGAGCCCCACTCTGCTTTTCCCCTGCCCCTGGATGTCGGAAGAAGTGGTTATCCGTCAAAAAGCTGTATCTGAACGGTGTCTTTACGAGATTCCTTGATGAACTGGCCTGTCTGGGTGCAGACATCAGTAGCAAATCTTCTGAAGTCCGTGCTCATAGGAGCTGTGGACTTGTTTTTTTTTTAATTTTCCCCTATATTAAATAATCACAACATGCTATTTGCACTACAAATACATCACACCACATGCTCTCAGAAGATTAAATTTGAGCTTAATTTTCCATGGAACTTTACTATACTTAAAAGATCTCAAAACACTTGGAGAATTCATGAGTGGTTTGAGCTCCGGTTACTCTAGGGCAATCGGAACAGTTCCTGCTGTCCTTAGGCGTAGCCAAGGCTCGGACCAATAAAGCACACTCGGACCAATAAGGCACACTCGGACCGATAAAGCATACTGGAAGGGCCATATTACTCAGAATAACAGCACTTCCCTGTCATTTCTTTAAAGACATATGAAAAATCCATATCACCCAGCCCTTTTGCAAGAGTAAAATGAATATATGCTTGTAATCTATTACACTAGAAAGCCTTTCTCCTAGTTGGCGTGCAGTGGGCAAAATTATTGGTTTGTTTGAAACAAAAGTAAAATTCAGCACGTGTCCACAAGGCTGCTGAAAAGACCGGCTGGTAATCACCATTTAAGTCGCTGGTTTTCATGTACCCACAGCCCCTTCCTCCCCGGGGGGTTGTATTAAGTAGCCAGGAAAGCAGGTCCGACCACAGTGCTATTCACTTCACGTCGATTCCTTCATGGACTCCTCCGAGTCCTGGGACAATGACCTTGGCCTCATCACTGTGTTCCTGCCTCGCTGACCCCCTCATTCCCAGTAACAAAGTCTAAACACGCAGCTTAGTGGTGTTTCCTGGGGGGGGGGCAGAGTTTTGTTTCTGGAACCCTAAGAAACAAAAGAAGACGTCTATCATGGCCCCCTTACACCAACCAGACCTGGGGGGCTGCCCCTCAGCTCCTGGTGTGGAGACCCCCTGAATGCATGCCTGGGTCCCCGCGGGGCCCCTTCCCATAACAAGAGGGACCCTCGGGAAACATTCGCCCTCAGAGTCTCTAACTTCCCCCGAGTCACCTGAAGCACCACCGCGCCCCACGCCGGCTTCACAGGTCTGGGGTAAATAACTCAGTAACAAAACAAATCCTGACTTTTGCTGACATCACATCCTGTTTTTCCCTCCAACCACGTATCACACATCTTCCAGATTTCTCTCCATCGCACCTTTACCTGTGTGAGGGCCTTCTTCCGACACGTGCATTTCCTCGGCACGGACCCCGCAGTCTGCGGTCCTCCTGTTCCACACCCAAATTCCGTCTCTAGTCTTACTGCACGGGCTACTGCTCCGGCCCCTCCCCCACACACACTCTTCCCGAACGTGAAGATAATAGACTCTGATCCTCATGCGGACATCACCCTGTTCCCACACGGAGGGGTGGGGGAGGTGGGGAGGGGCCAAGTGGGCCCTTCACTTGGAAACGGCACCCAGGGGCGGGAGGAGAGGCCCTTCCTGTGTTGGCCTGTCCACGTGGGGACCCCTCAGCGCCGAGGTCCATTAAGAGGACCTTACAGGGGCTAAAGGAAGACCAGCGGGTGGTTTTGTGCAGGGATTTACACGTCACTCATTGGTGTTCCCTCCCCAGATTTTTTCCTGTGGCTCCCAGGGATGTTTTAAAAATATCTTGTCTTCCTGATACTGCAAGACAAACTGTACGAATTCTTTTCACGTCTGTAAAGTGCATGTTCCTATCTCTCTAAAATTGCCCCTAACATTCCATGCTTAATATTCACTTTTCCATTCACTTCAGAGCGATAAGGAAATGAGCATGTGGTTCTGTCCTCTGGAGACTATGTTGCAGGAAAAACAAGGCAGAAGACTCTCTGGGTCGGCCAGGATTTTGTGAAATCTACGTGAACAGAAAAAAAAATGTGCATGTTCTTTGCCCTGGAAGTAAAATTGTATTGCATGTTCTTAAAGGACAAGTATACCTAATTTGAGAAGAGAATTCGATCAGAATTTGATTACGGTTCCCAGCAGGCAACCTTAGCCTTAGGAGTTTATACAATCAAAATGTAGAATACTTACATGTGTTAGATTCCCGAAAGGCATTCGTTGCAAGCTTTCACACTAAAGGTGCTCTGATAAATATGACACTTTTTGTTGCCTTCTCCGGTGTATTCACAGGAAAGACTTCCTGCAGTGTGAGACCTCCCACTGGTGGCCACGCCCAGGGCGGGGCCTGCATAATAATGAGCCTTCTAGTTCCCCGCATCACCTGCCCCAGGGCGGAGTCACCTCGGACTCTCTCCCAGAATCCTGTCCATGACACTGGACACGCAAAAAAAAATCCCATTGTTTCTTTGCGGCTGTGTACAGCATGGATAGAATATTGTGGAAAGGTCCTTGTCATAAACCGTTTCTCCCTAGCATTGATAATGGCAACAGATCGTTGTCCCTGAGCCCATCCTGCAGGTGAGCCGTGCCCCGTTCCAAGCGAGGAGACGGCGGGCGCATCCGGAAATACACCGGGAGCGTCTCCCCTTCCCCCGCCCCCCCCAGGAGATGCTGTCCTCAAACCAGATTGCATCCTTTTGAAAATCCATGCAGTGACCTCGCGATCCAGGATGAGAGAGTAGAACTGTGGGGGGGGGGAGTGATGCACCCCCTGGAGATGGACACTCGGGTGCGGTCAGAATACTGACCCATACATCCCTCGGCCTAGCCTCGAGCCAGACAGTGAGAGAACACTCTGTCGACATAACCGTTTTCAGCCTATTGAGTAGCTAAGAGAAAATTCCTGAACTCTCAAGGTCATTTGAGATAACCGCTGCTGTGTTGCATGATAAGACACATTTTCCCAATGGCGCTGTGCAAAATAAATTCTTATATAACATAGCACTCGCTGATGAGAAGGAAATTAAGCAATGAATTAAAAAGAAGGAAACAAAATCATTCACAGAGCTGTTACTGGGGAGGTAAAGAGGAACTCAGCCCCTTTTGGCCATACGGCAATGTCTTTTAGGAAGGAGCAGCCAATTTTCTTAGAACAATCAACTCGGGAGAACATTACACTATTCTCTGCGTGGGGTGCGTCAGGCCGAATACAGAACCTACTGTGTCTCCCTGCCCAACTGACAGTGATAATGTGGATATTTTTCAAGGCAGATACTAGCTCAATGTTCCATGATTTGGAAAAAAAAAATCTTCTGATTACTCTACAATTGATCTTAAAAGTTCATCATGTATGCCACATGATTTTCAACACGTACGCTTATTGGTAGAGTTTCATTAAGAATATCATTCTTTATACAAATTAAGATTCTTTATCATTGTACACATACCATACTACCTATAGAACTACATGCAGCAGACGGAACACGTGAGACGGAAAGCCATAGGATCCCTGCCGTGAGTTTTTAAAAGTCTGTCATTTTCAATGCGCCATAAGATAAATGTTAAACTAGTACTGACCACTGGGAGGCTTTCCCTGGAAAACATGTTCTGGCCTGAGCACGGCTATCCTCTCGAAAAGTGACGTGGCGGCGTCTGTTGAAGGGACCGCCAGCATCTCTGTAACCCTCCCTTCCTCCTCTCCACAGGTCCATACCAATCAATTCTAATTTCACAACAGCCTCTCAGGCACAGTAATCCCAAATATTTTAGATTTTTTGCACAAATAAAACCCAGGCTTTCAGATCTCGCTCCTTTTCCCCAGAGTGACTCACAGCCCGGAGGCCCGGGGAGATGAGCCACAGCGACGGTGACAGCGCAGGCCCACGGTGCCAGGTGCTGGGCTGCACAGGGAGGGTCACCGTGACCTCGGAGGGTCACGGAGAGTGAGAGAACAGGAGGCGGAGCTTTGACGTGCACTTTGATCAACCATGCCAGCGGGAAGGACAGGTGCCCGGGGGGCCTCAAACAAGGGAACACAATTTAGTTTCGGCCTAACTACACTGAGTTCCCTCCCTGGTGTCCTCTGTCATGGACTCCTCCAGCAAGTGCAGGGTCCCCATCTTAGGAGAGTCTTTCTGGCACCGCATTCCGGATCTCTGTCCACTGCAAACACATTTTCTCCATAGCTGATGCCCGGGAAACACTACTCAGTACAAACAGGTAACCCTTCCGAAATGGCCTCAGCCACGTCAGTGATTCCGTTTTAATCGCCCTGAAGTGTCTCACCCACAAGTCCCTGCGCACCTAGACTCTCCAGTAAGACAGTTAGTAGCTACATGGGGGGCTACTTCACTTGAAACCTAGATTGATACAAATTTTACATCATGAAATACCAAGAAAGGAAATAAAAATTTAGCTCCTTAACTGCGGCAGCTGAATTCCAAGTGCTGAATGGGCACGCGTGGGTTGTTCCCACACAGGACGGGCCAGAGAGGCGGCGGGCCAGAGGGCCAAAAGCTGGCCGATGCCATTGCACCCTTGACCAGGGGGAGGCGCTCACAAGAGCCCGCCCATGCCCTTCCCAGTGCCCTGTCTGCTTAGGAGAGATGGATTGCGTTCCTAATGCTATTGAGAAAATGCATCTTCACCTTGTCCACTTGGCAGCGTGTTAAGAGGTAACTTAGACCTCATGTGAACCCACCGAGCCCACTGTGACTCCTCTTGTCTTTGCAGATCATGGTAGGGGAAGGCATCCTGTACTGCTGCCTCTCCAAGCGAAGAAACGGGGTGGGGCTGGAGCCCAACATTAACGCCGGAGGCTGCAACTTCAACTCCTTCCTTCGACGAGCCGTCAGATTCGTGGGTGGGTGTGGGAACCGCAGAGAAGGGAAATGTGTTTTTCAAACAGAAGTGTTATGTTTAATTACAGAGATTAAGTCTTCAAAGCTATAATTTAGATGTGCGGTTTCAGGTACAGGATGAGCTTTACATTATACCAGGGAAAGAAAGAAAGAAAGAAAAATCTGTTTCCACACCCAAATTGGGGCTTTGTATCTGAGCTGTGTTATTTGCGGGGATGGTCCTTGCTTTGAGAGCTAACACGCCGCGCATTTCAGCAGCTCTAGTGGAAGCATGAGTCCACTTTAAAACAGTTTCATTGGATCAGTGTTCACTTTTTAAAGTGGAGAATAAATGTCGGCAGGCCAGTAGGAATGGATAACTCTTCAGAAATGATTCAGCCACATCCATGGTTCCATTTCAATTGTCCCGGAACATTCTCATCCAGAAATCACGGCACATAAAATGTCGCTATATAGTCCTGCATCACGGCTATCTCTCCTGGGTCATCTCCTCTCGGTTGACCTCCCAGACTCTATGGAGCTGTAGGAAATCACGGGCCTGCTAACCAGCATCTGAATCAACCAGTAGCTAAACCCTCACCTCCCCTGGTTGGCATGGAAATGTCTTCATGTTCTTGGAGTCACAGGCCTGTTTCGTTAAGTAAGTTGAGAAGCCCAGGGCATCGCACCAACGCAAGTGTTTTCCGTTCATTCCCAATAAGTCAGTAGAAAGGTATTTTGCCCATTGTCTCCAAGAAATGGGTAGCTTCACCCAGTACCCAGTGGGTGATTCAATACAACCGTCTCTCCCACCAGAGGAAAAGTCTGGTCTAAATCACGGCCCAGACTCTGCTGTCTCAGCACGGCAGTGAGATGAGAACTGGCCCCTTGGCAGGGTCATGAACTGAGGCCAGGAAACGAATCTTCAGGACATAGAGCTGACCTCAGAGACAGCTTTCCCTAATGGAACAAAACGCCACAGGAAAGGGGCATGCGCACTCCCTGAACAGCCTCCGACCGTGAGGACGGTCCACCTCCCCCCAACCCCCCCAGGGAGCAGGTCCCGGAGTCGGCGAGCCCGGCCTCCGCGGGGCTGGAGAGCATCCCTCTCCAAAGGTAAAAGTGGGTGCGCTTCCCCCCTTTCCGCACCCCTCTCTAAGACCTCACGTGCAGCCAGGACCTGGGAGGTGGAAGCAAAGGTCCTGAGTCCAGAATGCCGGGCGCGTGTGTGGAGAAGCACTGGGCAGAGTGGTTGCTAGGTGACGGGAAGCAGAGAAGGAAAATTCACAGCGGGGACACGAGCAGGCGGGCGATGCTGGGCCGGAGCGAGTCCCCCGATGAACCGCCCTGGTCCCTCTCCAACCGAGAGCCCGGGCTGGTGAGTCAGTGCGAACCCAGGGTGCTGAGACGTGTTGAGGCGTGTAGGGGAAGCAGGCGGGCTCAGATCGCGCCCGTGTGAGCAGAGCCGGACGCCCGCGGGTGAGCCCGGGCCAGGGACCAGAGCAGGAATGGTGTCCGAGTGCGTGAGCATCCATCGGGGCTCGTGAGACGCGCTTGGAGTCCGACCCTAAGAGACGAAAGGCAGAATCCGGACCAGGAGATACAAGAACATTGTCTCTGACCTCCAAACGTGCGGGACGACTCCCCCGGCCCTGTGCCCAGGGTGTCATTACTGTGTCCACGACAGGGACCCCCGCCCTTGTCTCCGCTTCGGTCAGCATTCCTGGTGTGACTGCAGCCTGCAGGGAGTTTAAACCCATTCTTTGGGGCTTGGCGGCTGCGACTAGAATTCGGGACTGCTGGGGAGACAGCGCGCTGGCCGCTCAAACAGGCCGAGCAACGTAAAATTACCCCTAACTTTGCTTCCTTCCCCACGTTTAATGCGACTGGTCACCTTAGCCTGTCCCAGGTGTTTGGCCCACAAGTGACTTGTGGTTAATAATATTGAGAATTGGCCTTGTTTAACCAAACTGGCCAAAATACCCAAACCTGAAACTGCCACTTTGAAGACACTCGTGGCCATTATATTGACCCCAGGTATCTGTTTAGAAGTTTGGGGGTGTTCTCCGTTGTCTTCTGGAGGTAAGCTGGGAGAAGAGGACTGCGCGGCAGGCTGGGCAGGCTGGGGGGCCGTCCTGCCGCTGTGCGGGGAGCAGGGCTGGCGGCGGCCCAGCATCAGGCCTGGGCCCGCGAGCGCATGGTGACAGCTCCCCCCCACCCCCGCCCGTGCCCACAGGTGTGCACGTCTTTGGACTCTGCTCCACGGCCCTCATCACGGACATCATCCAGCTGTGCACCGGCTACCAGGCGCCGTACTTCCTGACGGTGTGCAAACCCAACTACACCTCCCTGAACGTGTCCTGCAAGGAGAACTCCTACATCGTGGAAGACATCTGCTCAGGGTCCGACCTCACGGTGATCAACAGCGGCAGGTGGGACACCGAGGGTTCGAGCGCTCGGTCTCGCGTTTGCGTTGTTCGCTGACGGCGGAGGTGTCCCCTTAGGCGGACGTCTTTCGGTCATGACGCTTTTGGGTTTATTTTTCTTCTCAAATCAGTCACCTCTCTAGTAAGGACACCATGGGTGGCTCATGCCAAATCTTCCCCTCTGTCTCCAAATTTCAGACTCACGTTCTGTCTCCAATCTTCCTGCCGCCAAACCTGGCTCCTGTTTTGCGATCCGCCCCGTACTCCTCATGGCTCTAGGTTACCGCACTTGGTTGGTTTTAGGATATTTATAGTCAGCCGTGGCTTCCAGTCAGTAGGTGCCCTGTGTTGGCCTCAGGGGAAGAAGACTCAATATCTGTGCCATTTACCTCTCATTGTATGTTTTATTTATTTTTTAAATCCTATGAATGTTCCTTTTGGGAGATGTGTCTTCTGTGAATAAACCCAGAAGATCTGTATAGCTTCTACCCCTGCAGTTCAAAGAACAGGAGACAGAAAAACTCAAGAAACAGCCAATGCATGACATTTTTTTTCAATCAATAAAGTAAAAGATAACTTTTATGGCAAGAGGTATCTTAGAAGTTCACAATAAATTATAGAAGGGTGGAGGGCCATAAATGATTGTTAGAAGAATTTATTTGTCATTCAGTGACTTCCCAGAGATCAATTTGAGAGTCAAAAATAGGTTAGTAAGTACACTTAAAGAAACAGAGCCTGATATTATGTAATTACACACTTTCAGGTTCTCGTGGTCCATTCAATAGCTTTCAACCTCCATTTATGACCTACGTCCTCTATTCTTTCTCAGTCCTTTTACATTATCTTGTCTTTATTGAGTGGCAACCTTCTTTTTTTAAAGATTTTATTTATTTATTTTTTAGAGAGGGAAGGGAGGGAGAAAGAGAGAGCGAGAGAGAAACATCAATGTGCGGTTGCTGGGAGTCGTGGCCTGCAACCCAGGCATGTGCCCTGACTGGGAATTGAACCTGCAATGCTTTGGTTCGCAGCCCGCGTTCAATCCACTGAGCTGCGCCAGCCAGGGCTGAATGGTAACCTTCTTTATTGTGTACCAAATACTTAGAAGGACACCATTATAACTGAATTTTATTTTTCCATTTTTTTAACCATTAAAAAAATTTCTATCCTTCTTTTGTCTGTCTTTTCCAGCGTCTCTCTCCCTATCCTGAGCTCCTCTCTCTCCCTGCTTCTTAAATTATTCGACTGCACGAGAAGCTCAGAGATTTTTGAGATAACATTTTACAGTGCCATGCAGAGAGAAACATTTTGTTAAAATTAGATTTTCCTTATGCTTGGTAGAGTGTAAAAGACACATTTAGACCCATTGCTGTGAGAAAATGATTTTGCCTTAACATTTTATGTAAATGAAGCCATATATTTGGGAGCATGGAAAAAATTGAAAGCTTTAAGATCCAGGGTTTTATGAACTTGTACTTTAAACCGGCATAATTCTCGCACCAAAGAACAATCGGAATGTCTTCCCGCCTGTGTCCGCTCTCAGCCTGCGCTCCAGGGCTGTCACGGGGGGACGCCTTACAAGGCCGGCGTTTCCTACTGGAGAGCGCATCAGCACTAGTCTTCAGCACTGATGGTGGTGAGCTTGCCTATTCTATCATTCAGCTCACTCTCCAGGAAAGACACCGGAAGTTAGTTATTGCCTATGGCCTTGTGGCATTTCGGCTGAAGGTTTTAACCGCGCCGTTGTTCCCGAGGTGATTGTCAGCAGTGTGTCGGAACCAGAGTCATAATCTGACTGTCTTCCTTTGGCAGAAAATCATTCCCTTCTCAGCACGCGACCCTCGCTGCCTTTGCTGCCGTGTACGTTTCGGTGAGTAACCAGGTCTCCCTCGCCAGTCCGTGTCCTAGGGGAAGTGGGGGGGCGGGTCTCGTCTCCCACTAATCCCATCATGTAGCCGGGTAATAAACAGCAGAGCAGTGGAGTCGAGCACAGCGGTCCTTCAACAGCAGGCATCAGAGGAAGGGAGCAGATGCTACTATAAACACTGGAACAGTAAAGTAGTTCTTCTACACAGTCAGGTACTTAGTTAGCCTGGGAACCCCTTACTGTAATAGTACACCTCACGGGAGGGTATTGTGAGCCACGTGAACGGTATAGATTCCGACACTGAAAGAATTGTTAGGTACACACATACGTACACGCGCAAGCTTTCCTCTCCGTGATTCGGGGGTGACTGCGAGTCCTAAGTCGGCGTCGATCTGATAAACGCCGTCCAGTGAACTGTCGTCACGCCTGATCAGCGCAGCAGTTCGCGAGGGCTCACGTGAGAGAAATTGTGACCTGAAAATTGTGACAAGTGGCACGGAGGCCACGCAGTTGTCTGGCTAACTGTGCTGCTTCCATTTTTTTAAACTTCCCTGTACTTAAACGAGGTTATTTATTTGATGAGATCTGTCTTGCATTTCCTTTCCCTCAAGCAGACAATGTAGAAACGGCCGGGGGGACGGGACGGTGGTAAAATCGCCGTAGAGGGGGTCAGCGAGGCTGCTGAGTCCAGCTCTTTGTCTGGCGGTGACGTGACCGTGAGGTGCCCGCTCTCACGGACCCCGCCTCTCTCTCCCGCCCGCAAGATGTACTTCAACTCCACGCTGACGGACTCCTCTAAGCTGCTGAAGCCCCTGCTGGTCTTCACGTTCATCATCTGCGGCATCATCTGCGGGCTGACCCGGATCACGCAGTACAAGAACCACCCCGTGGACGTCTACTGCGGCTTCCTGATCGGAGGAGGGATCGCTCTCTACTTGGTAACCGCGTCGCGTCGCCGCTCCTGGTCGGCGAACCACCGCGTACAGTGGAAAACATGCCCAGAACACTCTGCCCCGGGATCATTCGCTTAAAATGTAATATGTATTCACGAGAAAATCTCCGGGTGCATCTCCGTTCTAAGCCAAATCACACACCCGACTTTCAGCAGGACGACTTAGTAAACTCTGACCGTAGGCCAGAAACCGTGAGGATCGTTGCATCTTGTCCTCGCGCACGCAGCCCACACGGGCCAGGGACAAGCACCGTTTCAGAGATAAGGAAAGTGAGTATCAGTGGAAGTGAAGTTAGTGGAAGTGGAGCTCGAGCGGAAGGTCATATAACTGGCCCAACGGCACAGAGGTAGCCCCTGGACACAACAGACCCGGCGAGTGTGGGGTCTCAAGCCTGGCCTTGTGCTCCATTTCACTCGTGCACTTTACATTCGCACAATATCCTGTCTGTGCCCAGTGCTACACTGAACATCAGAAGGGTGAGAAAGAAGATATATATATCCTCAAGGAGTTTACAGTGCAAAGACTAATAAAAATACAGGGGCAGGCCAAAGTAGGTTTACGGTTGTGAGTATGTGAAACAAGAGTTTATTTATTAATTATTGTATTATTTTCCATACAAACAACTAAAAACTACTTTCGCCCCCCTCTCTGCAGCTGCTCACAGTCTAGTGGAGGACTTTCCTAAACTTACCAATTTAAATACAATTATGAAGGTGACGTTACGTGGGGGCCGCTCATCCTGGGACCTCGGGCAGCAAGAGTGCAGGCAGATATCATTTAGACGATTTGAACCAGACATGGAGGGAGTTGGAGAGGCAGAGACTGGACTCCCCGCCATTCCCATCTGCACCCTGAGCCCTGAAATTGGAAATGCATCCATTCTGAGCTAATGCCCTTGTAAATTGTTAGGTAGCTCTATAAATGCTAAACCCACGGGATCCTTTTGGTGTGATTGGGAAGGGACACAGGGGCTACCCTCCACTGAAATCAGCACACCGGTGGGACTCCACGCTCGCTCCTGTCTCTAAGCCAAGCGCCTCAAACACCGAAAGCCCAGCAGGGGTTGGGCCCTCTACACAGGAAGGGTAGAGATTCTGAATCTGAACTTTAGCCTCTTCCAAAATGTTATCCCCCGAATCAAAGGCAAGAAACCTGCGTGTGAAGACAGGATTAAATAAAACGTGGCTCAGAGGTCGTGTAATATAGCACTAAATTGGTCACGTATTCCTTCCCTCCCCAAGAGCGAGTGTAAATCGGGAAAGAGCGTGGCCCCCCCTCGAGCACGGTTGCCGCCCCGTCTTCCGAGAACACTCTGTCCGGAGCGGAACACGTGGAACCGTGCTCGATGGGAGTTGCAGCCACACGTTTCTGACCTTGTGGCAGAACCCGGTGTCCTGTCCTGTGAGCGATTAGTTGTTCTGTATTTTCCACACCTCTTCCGCACCCCTCCTGAGGCGTGATCAAAAGTCTGAGGTGTCACTCAAGAAGAGAGTCCCAAACCCAGAAAATGGAATTGCTTTGAAAAGCAGGAGGATGTGTTTCTATCTCTCCTTGTCCAACTTTTCTTTTGAAAACATCAGAGGATTGAAGGTAGAAAAAGCATCCAGTGGGAGGGAGAGAGGAGAGAAAATCCAACTAACAATAAAAAAATCACGGGCTCGGAATTCTCCAACAGTCAGTACGGTGACTTGTGGTGTAACTTCCAAACTACCTCCCCAGGGGTGGAGGTTCTTGGGGTTTTGTTATCTGGGTTAGCCGGCAGTGTTTAGTGAGCTCCTACCTTATTAATGGGGGGTGCAGGGTCCTCGGGGTGGGGCCAGGGCGAGCAAGCGCGGGTTCAGCGCGGTATTCATGGTCTGCCTTCCACGCCAGGGCCTGTACGCAGTGGGGAACTTCCTGCCCAGCGAGGAGAGCCTGTTCCAGCACCGAGAGGCCCTCCGGTCCCTGTCGGACCTCAACCAGGACCCCAGCCGGGTGCTGGCTGCCAAGAACAGCAGCAGCAGCGACGGGATCGCGCACACCGAGGGCATCCTCGCCCGGAACCCCCGGGACGCCAGCTCGCTGACCAACCTCAAGAGGGCGAACGCGGACGTGGAGATCATCACGCCGCGCAGCCCCATGGGCAAGGAGAACATGGTGACGTTCAGCAACACCCTGCCCCGGGCCAGCACGCCGTCCGTGGAGGACCCCGTGCGCAGGAACACCAGCATCCACGCCTCCATGGACTCTGCCCGGTCCAAGCAGCTGCTCACCCAGTGGAAGAGCAAGAATGAAAGCCGGAAGCTGTCCCTGCAGGTCATCGAGACCGAGCCTGGGCAGTCGCCGCCCCGATCCATAGAAATGAGGTCCAGCTCAGAGCCGTCCAGGGTGGGGGTCAACGGAGAGCCCCACGGCCCCGGTAGTCAGTACCTCAAGCTGCAGCCCGGCGCGGTCGCCGGCTGCAACAACAGCATGCCCGGGGGCGCCAGGGTGTCCATCCAGCCCCGGCCTGGGTCCTCGCAGCTCGTGCACATCCCCGAGGAGACGCAGGAGACCGTGGGCGCCTCGCCCAAAAGCAGCTCGGCTCGGGCCAAGTGGCTGAAAGCGGCGGAGAAGACCGTGGCGTGCAACCGGAGCAACAGCCAGCCGCGCATCATGCAGGTCATCGCCATGTCCAAGCAGCAGGGCGTCCTGCAGAGCAGCCCCAAGAACACGGAGGGCAGCACCGTCTCCTGCACTGGCTCCATCCGCTACAAGACCCTGACCGACCACGAGCCCGGCGGCATCGTCCGCGTGGAGGCCCACCCGGAGAACAACCGGCCCATCATCCAGATCCCATCCACCGAAGGCGAGGGCAGCGGCTCCTGGAAGTGGAAGGCCCCCGAGAAGGGCAGCCTCCGCCAGACCTACGAGCTCAACGACCTCAACAGGGACTCGGAGAGCTGCGAGTCCCTGAAAGAGGGCTTCGGGTCCGGAGACCGCAAGAGAAGCAACATCGACGGCAGCGAGCACCACCACCACCACGGCATCGCCACCATCCGCGTCACCCCCGTGGAGGGCAGCGAGATGGGCTCCGAGACGCTGTCCGTCTCTTCCTCGCGCGACTCCACGCTCCGGAGGAAAGGCAACATCATCCTGATCCCCGAGAGAAGCAGCAGCCCCGAAAACACTAGGAATATCTTCTATAAAGGGACCTCCCCGACGCGGGCTTACAAGGACTGAGCCATGATGTCTGTTCAATCATTTGGGTGCATCCCCCCCCCCACAAAAAGACCACGGGTTGATGATTCTCCTTGCGTTCTGTTCCAACAAATTGGGGAAACCTCTCATCCAACCAGATCCGCCACGGTCAGCCCGGGACTCGATGACTCTGGAGAACTGTGACCGTCAGGCTTGTACATTCACATCAAGGGGAGGGAAAAGCACAATGCGAGAGCCCAACTAATGTGACAGCGGGGAGTCTCCTCCTAAGACCTGTCTTCAGACTCGAAGGTTGGCCGAGGGCAGTCTCGAAAGCCAGCGGTTTCCTTCCATGTGTACTCCTTTCCTTCCTGAACGTGCCAACGTGAGGGGTTTTTCTTTCTAACTAGCCGTGGGGATCCCGAGCAGGTGCCCCCCCGGCAGAGGCCATGCAGTTTTATATATCCATTCTGCAGAATCGTGTGCACTGGCACTCCGCGCGGGCGGTGCTGGTTAGCATAGTTCATCCCCCATGTCGACTCTCCGGTCCTCTGTAGCTGTGAACTCGTGGTGTGTGCGGTCCCTCGTCAGAGAAATGCTGCCGTGCCAGGAAGATGCTGGCTGCTTCGTGGTGGAGTAGGGCCCCGAGGCTTCCCCGTAGTGGCTCGGTCACAGCCCAAACGCGAAAAGGTTCTGTATGGGTTTTGGGTGGTTTTTTTTTTTTTTCCCAAAGCGATGCTTTCTTCAACAACAAAATTTGTGTAGGAATATTTTCAGCCCAAGGGAACAGCTAGTGCTTTTCTGCAGTTGTTTTCTGCTCATTTTTATTTATGTGTAGGCGCTGCTCATAAAGAAACTGGTTTTTGGTGGGTCAAACTGCACAACTTAAAAACTAGGTTGTTTTAAGAGAATCTTTTGAAACAGTTGCGACCCTATTCTGTATTTTATGGCTTCTACTTTATTTATGGAATTTTAAATTTGTTGGATGTTATAGATATGTTCTTCTGTTTTTAAGTGAAAGTAATAGTCAATACTCCTTGAGCAACATATATTGCTGTGAGTTTATAAACAAGAAATGTGAACCAAAACTTGACATCATGGGTTACGTCGCCAGCTCGCTTAGTTGCTATCTTAACAAGTAACCCCAAAACTTCATTTAGTTCCAGATCATTAACTTTTTTTGACATGCTGACAACTGGTAAATTAGAGCCACCAGAAGTGGGTTGTACCTTCCTCCCTACTTTTGTTCATTGGACGCCAACAGGTAGAATCTGAAAAATATGCAAATTGTTCATAAAAGTATCTCGCAGAATAAACAAAGAATGTATTTCTGCAAAATATCTAAATAGGCACGGTTTTAGGGCTTCGTGTGCAAACGACAGTTTTTGCTATCTGTCCCTAGTGAAGGTTTGAGCCTAGATCAAAGAACACAGTATTTTCAAAAAGGAGATGAAAACAAAACATTTTGAGGTGTTTCCAACGTAAAAAAAATTAGTTTAAATATAAAGAAGTATTTGGTTCTTGGAGTTTAGCACAAGATTTTTCCTACATCATTTCTTAAGAATTCTAGTCTGTACGTGAGGATGGCCACCAGGATCCGAGGTCACGATGAAGCGTGATGTTGACCTGGGGGTAGTTTTCAGAGTGAGCGGAAGGAGCCGTTTAGAGATGAGGGCACCCCACATTTATCGCTCCTGCAGGAAAGGGGCAGAGCTTTCCAGAGCAACCAACCTCCTCCTTAGGGAGTAGGGGTTCAGCTGAAACCAGCAGATTCGAAAACTGGCAATAAAACACAGATTCGACCACATCCCCTGTGGCGGTGTCCTTCTCAGAGAGGCGGGGGCGGGAGGGGGGGGTACTGAAACGCAGCCTTCACCGGTCCCTACGCCACTACCCCTCTGCCGGCGCCGGCCGCCCCCGCAGAGGAAGGCGGGCTGGTTTTAGCGCTCCGGAGACAGCAACACAGCTAGCTGCAGCATTTCAGGTGCCGTGCGGCATTTCCTAATCTTTCCTACTTCTTAACAAAAGGTTTTAAAGTACTTCTCTAGTCATTGACTTTCTTTTTCTTTACATGAATATTGATATATTCTTTTTCTACTCAAAGTGCCAAAGGCTACAGTTTTTAAAGACTTAAATTGTACCACATTGTTAAGGAAATAAAACGATAGTGGCTAGAACTCAGACCTCTGCATGTATATTTGATAACACATCTTTTGTAAAAAGAAGTAATTATGAAAAATTTGTTTACATTCCACTGGTACCTTAATTTAAACGTCAATGAGACTAATAGGTGGTATCTCTTCTTAGGGTTCTATTGATCTTATTTGCTAACGAGAGCACTTTTTCCTGTGTTAGGCTGTGCTTTACTGATAAAACCAAGTATTGAATAAAGAGAGTTAATTATCTTTTTAAAGTAAATAAAATTATGAAAGTATATATAATATATATATAAAGTATTGTGTTTAATAAAATGTTACGCAATGTTTTCCAAACTGATAAAGTTTGTACAGTGCTATAACGTATTTTGTTAAGTACAGATCACAGCTATTGTGTGAGTATATTGTGCTAACATCATAGAAATAAAGATTAGATTTCTTCACCAAAGTTGGAACGTTTGGGGGTCCTTTTTTACTTTGTAGTATGTGTGAATGGATAATAATTTGGCTTAGAGGAAAACAGATGAAGAAATAAGAATGAGCCAGAGCTGATTATATTTATAATAGTTTAGAAGAAAGATTGTTGCACTAGGAAAAAAAGTTCATCAAACCAGGACGTAATATTTCCTTATCATTCAGAATTTTTATTGTATGCAGATTAAAGGAGTTCTTTTAGGCTTATTCAGACATAAATTATTCACATAGCAACACTGTAGAGTATAAGAAATGAAAATATGGCCCTGGCTGGCGTACCTCAGTGGATTGAGCACGGGTTGCAAACCAAAGTGTCGCAGGTTCGATTCCCAGTCAGGGCACATGCCTGGGTTGCAGGTCATGACCCCCAGCAACCGCACATTGATGTTTCTCTCTCTCTCTCTTTCTCCCTCCCTTCCCTCTCTAAAAATAAGTAAATAAAATCTTAAAAAAAAAAAAAGAAATGAAAATATGGGCACGTCGTGGCCAATTTCCCTGAATCGATATTTCAGTAAGAGTAGCTGACGTACAAATCTTCCCCAAGATTGTCGCCCTCTGGGCTGGGTCTTCCTCAAAAGAATGCTTCACGGTTAACCCCAGGACCGCTTCCCAAGCCAGGGACCCCTGTTGTGTAAGTGCTGACGCTGATGCTTCACGCCACCCCCTCAAAGGTGCTCACACACGTCTTTACACCGCAGCCAGGACTTAAGGCTTTACTCAGAGGATCCTTAAGTGGCTCGCTGACTGGAACGTGAAGTCACCATTGCCCAGTAAAGCCACCAAGTTCATACAATCACCCAACAGCAGCCAAGTTCATGATCCCAGGCAACTGCATCATGACGGCCACCTGGCCAAAGCCACTATAGGATGCCGTGAACTGAGCAAAACATACCGGTTTTAGGGACCAGTATGTTTTGGGGACCATTCACAAGTGAGAAGCCATGTGTATCTTATAGTGCCTGAAATATACAATGTTCAGCTTTTCTGGGTCTTGAATTTTTATCTCTACAATGGGGGCAGTCAGCTATATTATCCTTTCTAAAGGATGTCCTGAAGTCATTTCTAAACGTCTATCACGTCTTTCATGCAGAGAGTGAAACCTCTGTGAGTTACGTGTCATGGAGTCAGCTCCGCCTCCTGCTCCCCGGGAACAAGTGGTGTCCACGGCGTCCCGTCCTCGTCCTGCTCAGCTCCCGGAGCCTCGCCCCTGTGGCTTCCTTTTGGGGTCAATCCATCTTATAGTCAGTCTTTTTCTTTTTCTTCTGCCTCCTACTTTTCCCAACAAAAACTCACCGGTCCAAAATGAGTATTGTCACCTTTGACCACAAAGTTAGTGTGAGCAAGGCGATGGGGTTGCCCAAAGCCTGCATCAACCACTTCACGGCATGTTCTATCAAAACAGGTGACTGTACAGAAGGACCCTGGTCCTCGTCCCTTTGTCACACTGTGTCCGGTGAGCGGATTCTGTGTTATAAACATAAGAACTATCATTGGGAGCCGCGTTATTTCTGCTTTTTGCAGGTCAAGTTCTTTACTCAATATATGTGGGTCATTTCATACTATAGTTCAAAGGGGGTGTGCAAATCCATGCACAGTTTAGAGAGTAATTTAATGAAAATACTATAACTGAAGGACATCAAAAGAAAAGAAATGGTTTGATCTGAAGGGAACTTGTGGCCTGGAAATCGGATTGCAGTCTGTTTGTGACGGGATATTTCATTCCCACTGCTCACGCAGTGCGTCTCCTGACTCGACTGCGTAGAAATCTTCTCCAATGGTCTCAGTCAATTGCTCCAGTTTGAAGAAAACACAGACTTCTGGAACAGTGTGAGTTATCACAGGTGAGACCCAGATGGAGGGAATCCCTGGTGAGCATGCTTGCTAATTATAAGAGAATATAGATGAGCCCTCTGACATTGAAATGACTTCTAGGCCCTGGCCGGGTAGCTCAGTGGGTTAGAGCGTCATCCCAATATGCCAAGGTTGAGGGGCCGATCCCTGGTCAGGGCATGTGCAAGAGTCAACCAATGAGCGCATCCGTAAGTGGAACAACACCTCTCTCTCTCTCTCTCTCTCTTTCTCTCTCTCTCTCTCTCTCTCTGTTTCCATGCCTCCTCCCCTCTCTTCCTTCCTCTCTAAAATCAATAAACCAACTTAAAATATTTTTTAAAAAGAAGTGAGTTTGATTTCTGCCCATACAATTGTAAGCTGATGAAAGCCCCTAACTGTGCGTGCGTGTGCCATGCCAGGAGAGGAGAGAACGGAGCACAACTGTAGTTCTGCCACCAACCCTACCTGCCGCACCTGCCGCGTGCCCATTCTGTCTCCCTTCCCCCCTCCCTTCCTTCAGACTCCAGTCACCGCCCGGGAGAAAAATCCATGTAGGTCCCGATGTTAGCTTTCAAAATAGTCCCGCCGACAAGCAGACTAATGAGCTTGAAGCAAAAATTATGACAATTGTACATCTATAAAGTCTCCCTGTCTCTGAATCACCTCAGCACGCTTTGTCCCCTCCAGAAGGAATACTAGACACTCTCCACCCCAGGCCCTCTTCTCCCCTGTGCCGCAATCAGACCTTCCAGACTGCGGCATCCTCTGAGAAACACTGTCATCTCTGAGTGTCAGGAAAACCCAGTTCACTCCATCCCCAGCTCAACCTTTCCCGCCCTGCATCTACAGCATTTAATCAAAGATATTGTTATAGATATTTCTGAAGCTATAAAAAGCAGTATTTTCAAAAATAAAGTCAAAATGAGTCAAGGACTTCGATGTAGAATGTAAAAGTATAATTATTAGTAAAAAACAAAGGAAAAATCTGAGTGGCCTGGAATGAGAACTGGTTACTAGTCCTCGGTTGACTCTGTGGTCTTTAAATATTTTTTCCTCTTCTGTAGTTTATCCTTTCATCCAGTAACAGGGTCTTGCAAAGAGCAAATGTTCTACATTTTGAAGAGGACCAATTTCTCTTTTCCCTTGACAGGCCACATTTTTAAAGTTAAATTTAAAATATATTTTAAAATCCTCAAAACTCAACAGTAAAACAACACACAGTAAACACTGAAGACTGAAATGGTAGGGTAAAAAATGGGCAACGATACGAACAGACATTTCATCAAAGCAGGCAAACAGCAAAAAGGCCCATGGACAGCGACACCACTAGCTATTTGGGAAACGCAAATTAAAGGCACAATGGGATCTTACTGTACATGTACAAGAATGACCAAAATAAAAAACCAGCGATCCTACCAAATGCTAGCAAGAACGTGAAGGAACTGGCTCACTCACACGTTGCTGGTGAGAACAGAAAATGGTATAACCACCCGGGAAAACAGGTTGGCAATTTCTTATTTAAAAAAAAAAAGTAAGCATACTCATATCTTTTCACCCGGGAATTGCAGCCTTGGACGCTTATCCCACAGAAATGAAAACTTATGTCTGCACAAAAAATGGCATCTGTGTAGTCATCTCAGTTTTATTAATAATGGGCCAAATCTGGGAACAATCGCGACTCCCCTCGTGGGGGAATGGCTGGGCAAGCTCTTCCACAACAGTCAGCAGTACTACTCTGCCCCCAAAGGAAATAAGCCGTTGACACACACAGCCGCAGTGGCTCTCCAGGGGCTGGCACTGAGTGGAAAGGCCAGGACGCAGAGGTGACACGCTCTGTGATTCCATTTCACGTCACAGCCCAGCTAGAAGCAGCCCGTGGCTGGAGCCGTGGCGTGACCACGTTTAACTCACGGCTTCCAAAGTTTTTCTAGTTGCCACCGTTTCCCAGCAGGAGTGGGGGCGGGAGGGAGGAAGCCAGGATGAGCAGCTTTGCCCTTAATTCGCCCAATTGGTCCAAGCTACAGGGCGCAGCGGAAGTAAGGCCTGCTCGAGTGTGCTTGGTAGGGTTATAATATGGGTGAAATAAGTTATAGTTTCAATTTGAACATTTCACCTAAAATGTCAGATGGTGTGCTTGAGTGTGATATTGTGATGTTATAAGACTCCGTGCTTATGATTTGGCAATAAAAGATGTCGTAATACAAGTGGGGTGTTATTTGTGCTGGACCCGTAGACCGCCGGGCTGCGGAGAAGCTAGGGTGTCATCTCGGAGGAGGGAGGGTGGCCCGGCTGGAACGGGGCGTCTTCCCCGACCGAGTGGAGAGACGGGAACAGCTCCCGGGGCTGCTGACCGGTCTCTGTCACACCAGC